TCTGCTTCGTCTACTTCAATTTGGTGGTAGGCTGACTGAATATCGCAGACAGTAATAAATTTTGCACCTCCAACGGTATCAATATGGGATTCTATATCTGGCATGGGCCAAGATTTTCGAATTAAACTCTTGTTAATAGTAGAGCGGTAGTCAACGCAGAATCGAGGAGTGCCATCAGCTTTTGCTACGATGGTAACAGCAGATCCCCATGAACTAGGTCTCTGTTCAATAATCTCCTCGTCTTCCATTTGTTTTACACACTTGTCGATGACTTCTTGCGCTCTAGGATTGGTACGATAGGGAGCACGATCGACTGGTTTAGTGCCTGGTTCTAGCGGAAAATCTGCCTTGGCTATCCTGCATTTTCCGAGCTCCTTCGGAGATAATGAAAACACATTACGGTATTTCGCGCATAAATCCAAGACTTGCGAGCATTGTTGAGGAGTAAATGTAGTGTTCGTGAACGCTTTTTTCATGGCTCGTTTCAACTCGTCTCGCTTGTGTCGAAATGTGGTTTGGTAGCTATTGACAGCGCTAACTGTTTTATCGGCAACCGATTTTACTGGCGAAATGTACCCCAAAATAGTGTCGCGTGCAATGTGAATGTAACAGGGTTTTCGCCTGATTGAGATCGGAGTATACGATTGAGAGCGGGAGCCAAAAAAATTGAAATTTTGGGTCCAGACGCCTCTTGCCATTTCTTGGGAAGTAAGGGGCGGGCTCTTCCAAGAAGCGGCGCAAATTGAAGGTCTCATCAGCAGCGTCACGAGCATATGCGTGTCATCGCGATCGGATGCTGCTGCTAGGAGCTAGACAAGTTGCTAGATTTCCCCAGATTGGCTATTCCTGCCTCAAACTGTTTCAGGGCGATTTGATCGCGGGCGGTGAGCTCTGCTGTAGATTCTGCTCCCCGCTGTAGCTCCACAACGAGAGACGCCCACAGGATGACCAGGGTATCGGCTTGTAGCTACGGGCTAGGCCTTCAATTCAAGTCACGCAGCAAGCTCCACCTCTCAGCGGTAGTCCAGCTACAGCGCATCGCGCAATCTCGCTCTCAATCAGAAACTTCGCTCTCAATCACACGAAAACCTTGTTATGTGTGGTTTGGATGGATTAGCAACTTGTACTGCAGCGGACCTGTTCTTTGCTGACCAATTGCATACCGTTCTAGCGACTACGATTGTACGGAACGCTTCGGTTATATTTTCAGACGTTTCGATGTCTTGGGCAGTGACAATCCGTGGCTCGACCAACGCAGGCGTGTTTGCCTGTGGTGCGTGTTCTGTCACGACGTCTACTGCCATTTCACTTTCGGGGGGGATGCATAATCTCTTAGAGAGATATACGGGCACCGCTCCTATCGATGGGTCAAGCGTCATTATGGAAATTTGCGCAGGGGCATCATTATTGGTGTCTTGACTATTCGTACGTCTGTGAGTTGCCGGAATTTTTCGTGTTGAATTATTAAATGAAAGTTGCTCACTGCACCAATCAAGGACGGCACCAATGGAATTCATAATGCTATTATCGAGCAACATCTTATCCGGACCTAGGTTGGGCAANTTGCTCACCGCACCAATCAAGGACGGCACCAAAGGCATTCATAATGCTATTATCGAGCAACATCTTATCCGGACCTAGGTTGGGCAACACGAGGGCCTCCACTGGTAGTGTGATATCTCCCAGTGTGAGCTTAAAACGGATGTATCCTAGGATTTCTAACGCTGAGCCATCTGCACTATTCAACTGAATTGCGCCAGGAGGCACAGGTTTCAGAGGTATACGTTGCAGGACTGGATGCGATTTAATAAAAGACGCTGATATACACGGTACATCAGCTGCTGTGTCGATAGTGAGGTCAGACACAGCGTGATTACAAAGTCGGGCAGAAATTCGCACTCTCTTGGAGGACGAATTTAACGCATTCGGATGTTGTGGATATTTACTCAGTGCTGACGCATGAAACGTCTCATAAGTGGGTCCACCACTCGATGCACTTGAAACAGAGGCACGTCTTTCCGTGTTATGATTCAAGGGCATACTACCAGTCAGTACAAATTCAGCTTGCTGCGGGGCTAACCTAGAAGTCGGCGCACGAGTGCGTTTGTTCTTCCTATTTTTCCCTGCTTTGCTACTTGACCGACCATGAAACGGTGCCTGGGCAGAATCTGTTACCGATGTCTCAGAATTACTGCTAAAATCTTGAACGGACGTCACATCACCAACTCTCACCCGAGGAAAAAATGATTCCCTCGATTTGCTACTGTCATGCACATACGGGGCTAAATCAACTCGGGCATCCTGTGCTACATGAGTTTCTTCAGCTAATGTNAACGGTGCCTGGGCAGAATCTGTTACCGATGTCTCAGAATTACTGCTAAATCTTGATTTGAACGGACGTCACATCACCACCTCTTACCCGAGGAAAAAATGATTCCCTCGATTTGCTACTACTACTGTCATGAACATACGGGGCTAAATNCCGCACTGTTCAAGGGGATGGTTGAACTTGCACCCCGGGTAGGGGCACGGTTCCCCTTTCGATGCCGAGGAAGAACTGCCTTTACCCGCGGTGCGCACCTTTTTCGGGCACCCTGACTCGCTGTGCTGTTCTTGTTCGGCGGCCGCATCGACTTGAGCCGGGTGACCTCAGCTTGCAGGTCTTTGATAACCGCCGTGTTTGAGGACACAGTCTGCTTCAGCTGTGGGGGTTCAGGGTACGCGACAGCAGATACGGTGTCGGATATGGGTGACGCTACGCCTCTCAGATTATTTGCCTCGTGCTTTTTCGCGCGAAGTCTTGCGTCCTAAAATGAGTTTGGAGGGTCCTCTCGAACACACTCTACTCTAATGTGAGGTTTCAGGCCGTTCTCAAATGTGGCAGTCATGAAAACGTCCCATGCGTGTTCGTAGTGGCTAATGTGGG